CCCAGGAACGTGGGTGTCAGTGAGGAGATCTCGGAAATCTATGGGGCCTCCTGTAGAAGATCTGTACTTATCCCTAGCATAGATGTGGACTTTGGGCGCCCATTCCACGTAGAGGAATACTCCCTGAGTCAAGACACTCTGGGGTGGGCCTAGGCCCTATCCCAAAGGATATGATAGACTCTGATAACACCCTATGGAAGGCCTCACCATCCAGGGGGAGCAGCCTCCCTGGGGAGCAGAAAGGATATGTGATAGGTAGGGTTTTAATTGGGTGGTGGTAGAGGAGGAGGGGAGGGAGAGGGAACTGGGACTGACATGTAAAACAATCTTGTTTCTAATTCAAATTTTTAAAAAATCTGAAAAAAAGTCACTGTTTTCTTCCTGTGACCAGGGCTTCTGTGTGTGTGTGTGTGTGTGTGTGTGTGTGTGTATGTGTGTGTGATGGACTGTGTTTGGCAATGTCTGATGTTTGCTTGATTTTTTTTATTCTGGAACAAGCAGTAGTGTGCACGTGTGTTTGGCGGAGTTGGGTGCCCACGCATGTGTAGCCCATCACTTTGCACTTTAGCCATGGAGGCAGCATCTCTCAATCACGTGTGTGGAGCTCACTGCTTCAGTTAGGCTGCATAGCCAGCTTGCCCAGGGTCCCCTAACTTCACTTTCTGAGCTAGAATTACAGGAGACTGCCACAGCCAACATTGCATGGGCTCTGAGGACCCAGACTTTGCTTTTCACTTGCATAGCCGGTGCTTTGCCCACTGAGCAGTCTCCTCAGTGCAGTGATACTGTTTCTAATTTAACATGAAAGCTCTCCAAGATTCATTTTGTTTTCAACTTGACTGGGTTGAGAGACAGCTAAAAAGTCAGTAAAACAACTTCTGAGGATGTCTTTGAGGTTGTTTCTGGAACAGTTGGCAAAAATGTCAAGAGAGATGAGTGGGAAGGTCTTCCCTGAAGGTGAGCATCCATGGGATAAGCTGGGGCCTGGAAGGAGCAGAGGGGAATGGAGGGGCACTCATGTGCACACCCACACTCAATCTTCCTGTGGGTGGTGGTGCTGCAATGACCCTTCCTGGGGAACCGTGGGACCTGAGTGAGAGACAAAATCCTAGTTCCTTCCCCAGCAGGCCTTGGGTGGCATAGGACGAGTGTTGCTGACAAGTACCCAGGTAGCATGGATGTGCTGGTCTACAGAGAGCATCTTGAGGAGTGGTATTCTGAGGTAAGTGTTCTTTCCCAGAAAGCAGCCAGAAACCAACCTCCAAAATCCTCCTAAGACAAGGACCAAAGACGGGGAGTGGCCTCCAACCACCCCAGGTCAATACTTTGAGCTCCAGATTAGAGAGAGGACTTCATTGGTATTCTTACAAAGGTGTTTCAAAGGGATGGTTATTCACCCTCCCCCAAATCAGTGTGTCCATTAACTGACTCAGTTACTGAGAACAGATATCACATGCTACTGTGTTGAATGGCCTATTGTCAGTTTTCTTATTTATGTTGGGGGGAGGGATGGAGAGAGAGGGGGGGGAGGGAGTTCTACATTTGGCCTTGTGACTTACTTCAAGGAGAGGATAAACAATTTGCACTAAGCCCAAATCATCGTAAAACAGCCATTTAATGTACTTTTGAGCTCCCAGAGATCCATTCTCACCTGAATCCAGTCTGCTTATCTTCATTGGCCTTTGTGACCTCTGCCCATCTAGGCGTTAGCACACCTGTGTAAGAACACCAGGGAAGTCCTCTCTCTCATCTGGAACCCATGTTTCACCCTCTTTATCCACCTCCTTAGACCACCCAATGTTTCTGTACACACCATGGTTGCCTGAGGCTTATCACGGTTGCACTGTGCTCTGCTCTTCAATGTTGGTCTCTCCAAAGAGAACAGGAACTCCAAGACAGCAATGAGGTTTTACCCCTCATTTTCCCTTAGCACTACTTAAGCTTCTGGAAAACGACAGGCACTCAGCTAAATTCATAAGGTGGACAAGCTATGTTTTGTTGTAATAGCAAACCTTAGGAATCGGGCATCCTGAGCTGAGAGCAGAGTGAAGATTGTTGTAAAGCTCCTGGAGAAGAGGTGAACAGTGCCTTCCACCCACTCCATCATCACTGCTCTCCCAGAGAGCATCCAACTGCTGAACTGAAAGCTTTCCCACAGCCTTGTCTTCATAGTGGGAGAACCACTTTAGGAGCAAGGGACCAAGTTCCTTTCATTAGTGAACACGTTTAACAGACACTTACTAAATACTTAGGAATGGGCAAAACTTAGGAAAGTGAAAGGTGCCTAAACTTTCCAAGCCTGCAGAATTCTTGGGCTAGGGGAATGTCTCGAGTAAAAGAGCTTCTGATGACAGCTTGATGACCTGCATTCAGTCCCTGGATCCTACAGTAGAAGGGGAGAATTGGTTCCCAAATGTTATCCCCTGACCGCCACATATGTACTTTAGAATGCACACCAAACACACACCTAAGATGATTTCAATAACCTATGTGATCCTAGGTGTTTTTACCTTCCTCTTGCTGTTCCCTGCCTCCTCTACCTTCCCCCAATTTACTCAAGAAGAAAAAAAGTAAAGTTCGTGCAGATTGAATGGCACAAGGACACACACAAAACTCAAGGCAGAGCACAGGTGCACATTTCTCACCCTTTCTCCAACCTATTCCTTCCTAGCCAGCACCCTCAGTAGGCAGGGTTCTGAGGAACACGGATGAAGCAATCTGGGGAAGCCATCCCCAAAGGAAAGCTCATAGGCATCTACCCATCAAACGCCAGAAGACTTTGTATCAACATTGCTAAGTACAATTAATTCTGGTACTTAAATTTGGAAGGAGGGAGTGGAGGAGGACAGAGGCCACATTTTATAAGAAATTTTGATAATATTTTGTTTTTAAAAAATCTGAAGTTATGGCCAAAAATCAAATACACAAAACAACAATATCTGCTGAAAACATTTTTTATTAGAAACATCAACATAGTCTAACACACTGTGCAAATACATGATTCTTTTCCATTTTCCTAGTGTAACAAACACCATCTTTCAGCACAATAGTCACTCTCCTGGTGACCATCACATATCAGTAAGTGCCAAGTGTCAGACACTAAGATAAGCAACAAGGAATTAACAAACAAAGGCAGAGCACAAAGGGGTGCTCTCAAAAGGGTCACTGTCCAGCTTCATTCTGGTTGTCTGTATCTCTGCAGATCTGCTTGTACTTACTATGACTGCCTTAGTTCCTGTCCTGTAAGTCACTAGAAAAGGGTCTATTATCAAAATTGGATAATTAAAACAATTAGTCAGATAAATATGGTTGAAACCTAGTTTTATTCTCAAGTAATCAAACAATTTATGAAAAGGCTATGCTACTGCTTAGGTATTTTATAACAATTTTATTTTTTTTTTACTCTATGGCCTGTTAAAGACCTGAAATAGTTTAATAAAAAGAGACATTCTCTGTTTCTCTCTCTACCTTCTATCAATGTGCACAGTCCTTGAGTGGTGACCCAAAATGAAATAAGCTTAATGCAAAGCCACCTATACGTCTTCATAGTGGCCGTTATTCCCTTCCCTTGGCGACATTGATCTTTTATTAGTGTTTGTACGAAATGGGTTTAAATCTGAATACTTACAGTACAAAGCCCAAATGACTCCTTTGGAAAGTTGTCTGCTATTCTGTATTTTGCAGGTATTTCCCTCTATCTACATTCATCGGTGGCTACATACACTCCCCAAATTTCCATGTTTGTTATATAAATATGATTTATTTTATGACTTTTAGGATTTTTATAAATATATTAATAATTATGTTTACTCTCATCACAGATGGATCCCATGTTTGCTGTGGAAAATATCAATCTTGTTTCTTCACTGCTCCCAAGAATCAGTCGATCCTTGGGGTTCTCAATTTCATTACTTTAAAATTCTTCAATGTGGTCCCAGCCACAAATAGTCACATAGGCACTGCATGCTTGAAGATAGCTTCCTGAACCCTGTTCCCAGGAGGAAGTTTCCTGGTGATTCCCCACCCCACCCGCCAGGATGGAAATTGTTATCCTGATGCTCTCCAGGAGTTAGATAACAATTCTGAAAAGATGCTTAACACCACAACAAAGAATTTGTTGGCATGACTCGAACAATGCGATTACTCCAGATACTGTATTCAAACTGTATGGGCCCATTGAAAAAGTAGATATAGCCTAGGAAGAAAGAAAACAAAAGGAAAATCTCAGACTTTTAAAAATATTAGGATTTACTACAGCTAGGAATAAAGATCAAATCTAAGATAGTCCTTCTCTACTTATCTAATTGCTTACTGAATGTCTAGAGACCCACCAGAGCCTCACACATGCTAGATAGGCAGTCTCTTCGTTTATACCTCTCAATCTTTATTTTTGAAAAAGATACCATTTTAATGTTTTGCTTGTAGTTTAAAGGATATGTGACAATAACAATTAAAGAAAAAGAGGCCAGCAATTTGGGGAGGGGCATGGAAGGGGTTGGAGGTAGGAAAAGGAAGCAGAGAAAATTATATAATTAAACTTTAAAGTATTTTTAAAAATACATAAGTATTCAAAGATTATATAAATTGTGCCCTAGAATTAATTGTATTGCTACAAATTCTAGTTTTTATATTAGAAACATTGGTATTCATCGGCTGTTATAAATTAGGGTAATGCTTATTGTCATAAATAAAGCAAAAATAATTGAATAGTTATGACAGTTATGAATATTTATAAATTACTCCTTACTCCAGCCCGAATTTGAATGTTGACACAACTCTCTGCCTCTTGGCATCTCTACATATAATTTAAGACCATCCTTAGGTTCAACATCTTTCATTCCCACACTTGGAAGTAATTAAGTAAAATCCTCATTGATTCTAAGCAAGTTGTTTTGTTTGCTATTTAAGTAGTCACACAATGGCCATGCATATGTAGGCTCATCTGGATTCTGTTTTAAGATCCTTTATATGTGAAACATTTCTGGGGGCCCAGAAGCCCTTCTGCAAAATCAGTGCAATGTAGCTACTTACCATTTTTCTCGTAGACAGCATCTACTTTATCACCGATTCCAGGGAATTCTTCTTCTATGAATCGGGGATAGTCTTTGTCCATAGTCTGATTAGCATCATCATATCTGATTTTTAAAAAATGAAGATAAATTTATCAAAATATAGGAAGGGATGACAAGAAAGAGAATCCAGGTGAAAGATTAGAAGGAACAAAATTGCAAAAGCTAAGAGACGGCTTCGCTGTATGAAGAGAGGACGTGTGGCTGGGAGAAAATGGATGCTATGGGTAGTGGGGTGTGCATGTGCACGCGAGTTGTGAGATGTGTGCAAGAAAGCATGAGGTGGCTTTAGTCCCAGAGTAGCTGCTGGAGGAGTTGACATGAAACAGGAATGTTGGCCTGTAACACATCCAAAATAAAACGTGATAGTGTATGGGAGAGGGAGGTAGGCAGGAGGAAATGCATGAGCAAAATTCAGTGACACACATGGAATGAGTGGAACCCAGGGCTTTGTTTGCTAAGTTAAAAATATAAACATTTCAATAAAACCATCCTTGTCACTGAACCAAAGTATGAGAAACAGGTGGGGGCAACAGTAGCTACAGGTGTGGGCTCTGCCCCCAAGGCACTGGTGGGGCTGGGGTGTGCGCTCGCGTGTGTGTGTGTGTGTGTGTGTGTGTGTGTGTGTGTGTGTGTGTGTGTGTGTGTGTGTGTGCGCGGTGTGTGTGTGTGTGTGTGTGTGCG